CATAGATGGATAAACTACTTTTCTTGATAAAACAGAATAATCCTTTTACTTGAATTTCAGATGTTCAGGAAAGGTGATAGAAATTGTGAGGATTAACTCTAAATTAAAAGTTTTGATTCTGGAATTGTAAAGTTTTCCTAGAAATTTATCTCATGAAGAGGTATATTTCAAATCAGACAAACCATATCTTGAGATATTCTCCCTCCCATCATAACTTTAAGCCTGGTCAATATTAGGTCGTTCCTTGTTAGTTCAAGCTATTGCCATATATGTCTAAAAAGAGTGGAAGCTACCTTCTTGTACATTGTCATCTGGAACATCATATAGCTTTTGTGAGTATAATTTACTGTAATTCAAGAAATACATTTAATAGGAAATACAAAATAAGATCTCCTACATAGTTTAATTCAGCTTTTTTCAAGGCATTTCTTTTTCAGATGAAAAGAGTAAAAATCCTAACTGTTCTGTACCAAAATAAACTGTCATGGAGATTTATGACTGTTATAAGAAATCTGTCTTTTGGCAATACCATGATTACAAAAACATATTTTGTGAGGGTCCACTACTTCAGAGGAGAAAACAGTGCACCTGACCTAACAGTCACTCATCTTCGTTTTCCAAAAGACTCGTGAATATCGTAGAACCACAGAATCACCAAATGGTTCTGGTAGGAAAAGACCTTTAAGATCATCAAGTCCAATCATCAATTCAGCTCCACTAAGTCCATCACTAGACCATGTCCCTAAGCATGACATCTACTCATCTTTTAAACACCTCCAGGGATGGTGACACAACCACCTCCCTGGGCAGTCTGTTCCAGTGCTTGACAAGACTTTCAGTAAAGAAATTCCTCCTAATATCCAACCAAAACATTCCCTGGTGCAACTTGAGGCCATTTCCCCATATCCTATCACTAGAAACCAGGGAGAAGAGACCCACCTCCACCTCGCTACAACCTCATTTCAGGTCATTGTAGAGGGCAATAAGGTCTCCCCTCAGCCTTCTCTTCTCCAGACTAAACAACCCCAGCTTCCTCAGCTGCTCCTCATAAGCCTTGTGCTCTAAACCCTTCACCAGCTTTTTTGCCCTTCTCTGGACACATTCCAGCACCTCAATGTCCTTTTGGTAGTGAGGGGCCCAAAACTGAACACCATATTCGACATGTGGCCTCATCAGTGCCGAGTACAAGGGAAGGATCACTCTCCTCCTCCTACTTACCACATTATTCCTGATGCAGGCCAGGATGTCATTGGCTTCTTGGCCACCAGAGCACACTGCTGGTTCATATTCAGTCAACTGTCAATCAACACTCTCAGGTCCTTCTCCTCCAGGCCGCTCTCCAGCCACTCCTTCCCAAGCCTCTCATGTTGTATGGGGTTGTTGTTACCCAAGTTCAAGACCCAGCATTTGGCCTTGTTGAAGGACATGCAATTAGCATTGGCCCATTGATCCAGCCTGCCCAGATCCCTCTGAAGAGCTTGTCTACCCTCAGGCAGAAAAACACTCCCACCCAATTTAGTGTCATCTGTAGACTTACTGCTAGTGCATTCAGTTCCATCATCCACGTCACTGATTAAACAGAAGTGGCCCCAGTACTGAGCCCTGGGGAACATCACTTTTGACTGGCCACCAGCTGAATTGAACTCCATTCACCACCAGTGAAAAAAGTGCTTTCTCAGTGAAGAGTATGCCTGTCCAAGCCAGGCCCAGCCAGCTTCTCCAAAAGGGTGCTGACAGAAGCAGTGTCAAAGGCCTTACTAAAGTCCAGGTAGACAACACCCACAGCCTTTCCCTCATCCACTAAGCAGGTCACCTTGTCATAGAAGGACATCAGTAAAGCTCTTTCTTTGAGCCCTCTTAACTCTTGTCCTAGAATCCTTTCAGATATCTTCAGAACAAAAGCCACTCCAACTCAGGCATACACTTCCCATGCTATAAAGCCTCTCTACAGAGAAAGACTTAATTTGGATTAGTAAAGACACTGCCTGCTAAGCTTTGAGCTTCACAAAATGTTTTCAGTTCTCTTTTGGTCATTTGCACCGGAGTTTAAATCTACATCAGCTATCCACTTGCAGCATAATGCATAACCCAGTATGTTTCTGTCTGTTAGAAAGCAAGTCTTTCTTGTTGTACACATAAATAAATCACTGTAATACTTATTGATGCAAGTGATGCTCAAATTTAGATCTAATCCATGACAATTTGGACGATCTTTGACACTTTATGGAATCTCTACAGGTACAATTGCTGCAGGATCACCACTGATAGTTTCATTTTGTTCTGCCTGCTAAAGAAACAGATGCTTTTTCACTTTTAGTGCTTAACACTTTTTATGTTGCTTATAATCTTTTATGTATTTAAATTTCTTACCCTAAGCTGTATACAATGAAAGAGGAACAAGGTTCCTTTGTATGTCTTTAGTTTTGGGAAACTGTTTACCACCAGAAAGGAAGTGTTCTAAATTAAGAACTAGGTCCTTATCCCATGCACTCACATTAAGCAGCACCTCTTTCTGAAGGAGTCACTGATTTCAGTTAGATTATTCCACAGGATGCAGATCAGGATACTGCTGGAACGTTAAGTTCCTGTTTAAAGTCTGTCCTACACAGAGGAGCATGCAAATTAATTCAGGCCCAACAAACAGAAGAGATACTGTTCTGAACTAGAAACATAGTAATAGCCTTTCGTTCCTCAACAGTGCAGAAGTGATTAAGTAAAACCTTATAATCAAATTATCTGAAGATTATTTATTAAAACAGATTTAAACCAGTTTTTACTGTAGCTACTTGTCTGCAGAATTTAATAATGTTCCTCAGTTACAAATTTCATTTTTATTCTTTAGAGTTTATTCTATGAGGCATTCAATGTCAGTTGCTAATGAAAACACTTGCTCTTGCTCTATAGAATGCACATAAAAGAAAAACAGACGTGGTCAGTCATCTAGAATGACAGAAAGAACAAAACAAAGCCAGCCAAGCAAAGTAAAAGATAAGAAAAACAGACAAACAAAAAAGAAACCTTATAAATCATGAATAAAAATGAGGAAAAAATGCGAAAAAAGAAAGCCTGTGGGACTTGTCTGATCATGCTATACAATCAAAGCACATGATTCCAGATGATTTAAATGACCTGTGACAAAAGGACAGTTAACTGTCTGTGAAATGCCAATCATCCTTAGTTGGAAAAAACCTACAGATTCAAGTACTAGTCTTTATCCCAGAGGAAATCAGGGTAAAGTGCTCAAAAGCCACTAGCCTAATAATGACACTTCCAAGAGAAAAGAAACCCCTCATCACCACACTAATATCAATCAGTTAATGAGTTAGGCATTCAATATGCAAATAAGATAGGGGGATTGTAATTGGTGAGCCAAATAACCTGCTATTTTCTATAGTGCCATTGCAAAAATAAAGAGGGGAAAACTGTAAAAGAAAAGCTTGATGTGAAATTGAGAAAAATTAAATATGCATTTCATGAAGACATTTAAATAACAAGCTCAGCAGAAGTAATAGATATTACTGCACAATAATGAAAGTCATATTTTTGAGTGATAAAATCCTTTAATTAATAATACCAGAATGGGATAGGTGGAGTAACGGTGCCACAGTGCGTGTTGCTAATTGAGCAACTATAGCCTGAGCTTTAACTCTTCATTGCTTTTTATCTGGGTTGATAGATGTCCTGTATGATTGGCAAAAGGAGTATCTATATTTCATATAAAGATCTGTATTAGTAAATTGTATCTGTACAGCATGAAACTGTCAAAAGCCAATGTCAGATTTATCTTGCAAATAAATGCAGCATGTATGGAGACAGTGTAGGCAGTATGCTCCTCTTGTTTCAGCAAAAAACAAAATCATTCAACTTGAGATGTTCATCACAGTGAGATGGATTCTCCTATACATTTTCCATTCATCTTCCACACTGTTAGCAATGCTAACATTCTACCAATCTATTTCTGGTTTTTGCTTTGCATCTTTTTATTATACTTGTATTTACAGATACAGGAAAGTGGCAACAGCAGCAATTAATTAATAAACCAGACAGACATAATAGCAGTCGCATAATATTTGCATAAACAGTTATTATACCACTATACCTCACAAGATTTGACATGAAATTCTATGGTAATTTTATTTAGCTCAAATTATAATTTACATAAATCCTATATATACGTCTGCAAAATATAATTACAATATCTATAAAAATGTCTATAGAAATGAATAGTAAATGGTTTCTATTAGGTTTTTTAGCTATCAAGAATTACATAAAAACTTAGTATTACAATAGCTCAAAAATCTGCAATATTATTCTATACAGCATTTTATAGATCTTCCAAATAATAGTCTACAAAGCACAATTTCTTACCCACAAAATTCAACATGATGCTTAAATAAGAAATCTGACACACCATGTAAAAACAGTGATACATAAATCACATTATCACACTGTTCCAGATGAAGTCCATCTTAATTAACATGATGTGCTGGTAAAACTAGAGACCCTCACAGCATGGACATGCAACATGCATGAAGTCTGGTGATGTGCTACTGTATGAAGCAACCAAAGCAACAGAGGACAGCAAATGATTCCTCTACCTGCACAGCTCTGCCATGAGAGTTACCCTTCAACTGTCTTATCAGTTCCACAGAATATACTCAGACACGTAAGCACATTGACTGCAAAAATCACTGCATGTGTCATTCCTATTGCATTTAGTGGCTCCAGTATTCCAGGTGAGTGTAGAGAAACAATACTGTAGTCAAGCATAACTTATTCATTACCTTCTTACTGCTTCTAATATGAGGATTGCTAAGATTTACTCCCAAATGATGATATATTAGAATACACTTAGTGTTAACAGTATAAAATGAAATACCAAACTGTGGGAGTAAATGCATACATATGCGTGTGCACGTGCACGCATGCACACACAACACACACAGAGTATTTTTGCTATGTATAAAGTACATCTTAAAGAAAAAATAAGAACTACTTACACCAGAATAGAAAGGCTCACCAGACACACAGATCACATCCTGCTCCTGGATCATCAAAATATCTTTGGCTAAGTGCAGTCGCACTTTGAAAGGCTCCTGGTTACCATCCTGCAGCAAACAAATCCCTGTCTTTGTCTTCAAAGGAAGAAATAAAGAAAAAAAAGTTTTCTCAGTTAGCACTTTGCATTGCTAGAAGTGGTATTTTGAAACAGAACAGTTGATGGATACAGTTACCATAAGTACTTCAACAAATACGCAAAACTATTACCAGTGATCAGTGTATTTATTTACTGTGCCCAGAGTACAAGAGAACAACGGTTATGGTAGCAACTAGCAAAGGCAGATATAGTGTTAAGGCTTTATACTGCCTGTGATGAATTTCTGAAATCCCTTTCAAATTTCTTCATAGCAGCTGTGTTCATACTTTCCATCTCTGTATTAAATCATGAAAATTCATTTGGACATGAAATAAAAGCTGATGTTCCACATATTACACTATTCTAAACTCAGAAATACACAATAACGCTTCGAAACTATCCTGAAATGAGTACTGACAGCCTACATCGACCTGTTGTGGGCTTTTCCTGATCTGTGTGCACAACACTGACCTATGCTTTCATACCACTTTTCAAATGAGTATGCTGAAGTTAAGAATAAGAGAATAATGAAATAATGAATTAAAAGAATAATCAAATAATGAAACTCCCTATAGTAACTTATTTCTTGCTCCACTTCTGTATTTTACTTTTATGGTTAGAGATCAGGAATCTGTAGGATTCTTCAATATACAATAAGTGACTTTCCAACAATTAAACAGTGTCTTTGTGGCAGTACCTACTTGTGCTACTGTTTTGGGTATTACATGTAAGAGGTTTGAGTAGTGAAAAAGTCTGCATGTGTAAGGATCTGCATTATTTAAATTTTTTTCCCTGAAGACTGTGTTGAAAATAGTACTCTTTATAACAATTAATAAATGGACAAAAGTTGTTGGTAGAGCATTTTTGGTATGAAAAATCTGCTTACAAACAATCTAAAAATTTAGCCTTACGACATGTAATTTACTAGTATTAGATACTTATCTGCACAAATACAGATGTATATGTATGCATGTATGTATTTCAGAAGAAAAGTAATCTATAAGAAGTATTTAAAATCTCGAACTCATCAGTGTCAATAATAAAACTTCGACTGTCTCCATCCAGGTCAGATTTCAATCCACTGCAAAAAGTTGGCTTGAGAGGAGATCAAGGAAACTAAAGTCTTGCTGTGAACTTTAACTGCCAAGGTTGACCTGGCTGAATCTGAGGGCTCTTTCTCAGACAAGAGTTTAAAAGATAATTTGGAAGATATCCCCATAATGTGCTCTGATACCTTACATCCATAGCATGGAGAGAACAAACACAAATATGGAACTGACAGTAGGCAACTGGCAGAAGAAAAGTTTAAATTGCTCTCAAGAGGCTTTAAAAGAGGTGGAAAGGTCGAGGACAACCTTTAAATAGCTATATATAATGTTCTTCACTGACAAACTGTTCTGTCACTTCTGTTCCATGCTCACCACTCAAACTTAGGAAATTATTTTCCTTTGGACACCAGTAGCAAATCTGAATAACTCAGTCATAACTTTGAAAATGGCTCTGACATAATTTTTATTCTTTTACATGAATTAAGAAGAACAAAAAACAAAGCGTTCCATACACTGAGCACATACTGAGGTCAGTGGACAACCTTGTTTCAATATTTAGGTGTCTTTTCTTTTTAAACAGGATGAGATAGAAACTGATTGACATGGACAGACAAATCAAATAAATGGATCACGAAAGGAGTTTGATTTTCAGTAACATATCATACATGAAATATTATCACAGAATCACAGAATGTTAGGATTTGGAAGGGACCTCAAAAGATCATCTAGTCCAATCCCACTGCCAGAGCAGGATCACCTAGACTAGGTCACACAGTAGAATTACGAAATTAAAATAAGGAGAATTGGAAAATACTTAAATTCCCCTGATCCTCTCCTTATAGCTTCTGCTTTACAGGCTAAGATGAGTTGTCTTTCCATGGAGTTGTGAAGTAAGCACTAAGTGACAATGGCAGCTGAACAAAGTAGACTTTAAATAACTATGGTCAAATAAAAGGGGCTAGCCTACAAGCATCTACCATTTATAAAATGCCTTTTTCTTGCAGAAAGGTTTGCAGACATGCCTTTCCTTCTCTCTGGATAACTGGCAATGGAATAAATTCTGCCTCTGATACACTGATGATAGTAACACTGCCTTACTTGACTGCCCATTTATGATTTGGTCAATAATCCTATAAAATCTCCAAAGAGTCTTTCTGCAAAAGCTGAGGAGCTTCTTTGTGGAAATTAGAGGAACATAACCATATCTGACACAATTAGCAATCAGAATAAAATTAAAATTCAAGACGGTTTCTAAATGTGCATGGGCTGAGCTTATTCAGTCTAAACAAGGAAACAAAGCTTGGGAACAGCAACACATTTTGGCCCTTGGCAAGACTGATTGCACACACTCAAGGATCTGATTTACATCAGACACTCTAAAATGTAATGAACCACTTCACTGTTGTTGGGCTTTATGAAAGCTGGTTTATGATACAGTTCAAAATTAAATCTTCATTTATACTAACTCCTTCCCTGTCTTAACTGAAAGCAGCATTAACAACTGTGTAAAGAAGAAGAATGTAGTTCAGTTTCATGAGATAAGCTCAAGAGAAGTCCTTGAGAACAAAGACATTTAATTATTTAATTGTTTCATTTTTGTGTGCTGAAATTTCTTTTTTCTTCTCTCCCCAGCCTCCTTCAAAGCATCCAATAAACTGAATTAAAGAAAGATGTGAGCTCCTACACCATTATCCAGAGCTGGAACTTAGGGAAGATGCCCTGTATATATGCTTTCATGTAAATTACTGTGCACATCAACATTTTTTATCCGTGTGGCCCCAGTAAAATTATTCTGGTTGGAAGGAGATCATTCATCTAGCCTACACCCCTACTAGCTCTTTCATTTGAAGAGCTTAGATCGTGTGCATGTGTGTGTATGTGTGGGTGGGGCTTGGGGGTGCAGGGCTGTGGCTGATGTTAGCTTTTGTTCCCGTTACTAATTTCTAAGAGATTCCACGAGAGAGTGTGTTAAAATTTTCCCTTCAAGCCTTCTCCATTTCACTGACAGAGGGCTCTGCCCTAACCCTTACTTACAGCAGTAAAATGGCACACGGCACATCAGCTGAGCTACTGTAGCTGTCAGCATGAGGTCACGCAGGGCATCCTCTTGTGCTCAAGCTTATGATAAACTGCATTGCCTTACAGCAGACATGGATAGAGAAGCATAGTTCAGCTGATGACAGTTTGTTAAGCCAATACACCTTGACTGTATGTTTCAGCCAAATTTGTCAAGAACATTACCCTGCCTACATTCATACCATCCTAGTTTATTCCTCCTATTTACAGAGTTTGACACCTGTTGCAAAGAGGGCAATAAAGCTGTGTGAAGTTAAACATGTTTATGAAGCGGATGAGGTAGGCTAACTAAACACAGAATCACAGAATCATAGAATGTATTGGGTTGGAAGGGAACTTTAAAGACCCTCTAGCCCAACTCCCTGCAGTTAGCAGGGACATTCTTACTAGATCAGGTTGCGCAGAGCCCCATCAAGCCTGACCTTGAATATCTTCAGGGATGGGGTCTCCACCACCTCTCTGGACAACCTCCTCCAGTGATCTATCACCCTCATATTGAAGAACTTATTCCTAATATTCAACCTAAATCTACCCTTTTCTAGTTTAAAACCATTACCCCTTGTCCTATTGCTACCCTAAGCTAGTGAACAGCTTTTCCCCAGATCTCTTGTAGACACCTATCAGGTACTGGAAGGTTGCTAAAAGGTCCCCTTGGAGCCTTTTCTTTTCCAGCCTGAACAACCCCCACTCTCTCAGCCTGTCTTTGTAGGAGAGGTGTTCCATCCCTTTGATCATCTTTGTGGCCCTCCTCTGGACCTGCTCTAGCACTTCAATGTCCTTTTTCTGTTGGGAACTCCAAAGCTGGACACAGCTTTGGATATGGATAGGAAAGCAATATACTGGGGTGAAATAATGAGTTTCCATATGGGAGAGGAGCCAGTGACTTTAAGCAAGAGCAGTGATGAAGGAAGATCGCAGTACCTAAGTGACAGACACAGTGAATGTTGCACGCGCATAGTACAGCCTCTGTCATGTCATTCCACAGTCTTTTAAGCTAAGTGAGGCAAGAACACTGATGCGGCAAGAGCTGATGTCCTTGGCAGGAGTTTAGAAGCTGCTTGCTTTTCCTGAACTAATCTAATGATAAAAGGGGCTGTAAACTGATCCCTCTTTGCTTTGCCACGCCAGTCTGTGTTGAACTTAATTTTGATCACTATCAGAGAACAGTATAGGTTGGCAGAGCCCTCAAGGCAGACTGCTTTTAAAAAGAATATAGTCCCACTCAGAACATTATTAGCAACCAGGCAGTGAAAAAAGGCCATTTAAAAATCTTCTTCCATTATACCCTGACTTATACAGCACATTGTCCATATTGGCTGTGTATAGGACCTGGCCCTAATATCTTTCCTAAAATGAATTTAGAAATGCTCACATACCATAACCAGCTTGGTGAAATATACATAGCCTTCACAAATATATAAAAAATAATTTCAGAGGAAATACATGTGCAAGCTACAGTTTATACATTTACATAAGCAGCAGAGTCTCCACAAAACTTACATCAAAATTAACACTGTATGAGAAACATCTTTAAAGCTATCTATTGATTTCAGAGTCACTATCCTGCAGGAGTTCCAACACAAATACTTTCATTTCTCTGGCCTAAATAAAGCTACTGGCAAGTTTTCTGTGGAAGATTTTTTTTTCTTAAATTTTCCCTATTTTTTGCTTTCTTTGTCATTTATGGTAAAACAAAAAATCTAAAACTTCTATGTTTTGTTCTGAAGGATACTTATTCAGTATTTCAGGCAATTTTAAATGCCCTTCATTATTTTTCAAGAGATGACTATATCTTTTTGTTTATGCTGGCTTATATATTACTTTTGCCTTATGGTAATAAAACAATTTGGATAGCTTTGCTGCTTCTAGTTTC